AAGGATAAATTCATAGAAAACTCAGAGGTAAGGCACACTAAGATCATATGAAAATAACAATATGATCAATAGACCGCTGAAATGACTCCAACTAAAGGTAAGTTTTTCAAAAATCTCTCAGAAAACTTATTTTTCAGTGCTCAATACTTTTCAGTATTTTCAGTATTCAAAATATACAAGCACGTTAATGGGTTAGAAAGACATATTCAAACATTCACCACTGAACACACAGCGATGACGACTGGATCATTTAGTTGATTGAGAAGTCCTTGAGGCTGGGCATGGCAGTGTCTACCTGTGATCTCAACACTGTGGAGGCTGAGGCAGAAGAAACAGAGTTTGAGGTCAGACTGGGCCACATAGTGAGTTCAAGGCAACCTTGAACTGTATAGAGAGGACTTGTCTCAGGAAAGAAGGAAGGGAGGAAGGAAGGAAGGAAATCCTTGATTTCAAGCCATTACTAATATATGTGGGCTTTTAGGGATTTTTTTTAAATACTTTTAAAAGATCTTTATTACTAATAAATCACTTTAAAGGTCAAATTTTAAAAATATTTTGAAAGATGGTTAGATTTTTAGACTCTTCCATCACCAGTTACCTTAGTCTCAGAAAAATAACTGACATTTCATTATTTTCAACAAGGACACATGTGCAGTGTACATGTACCCACTGTGGACCACTTGTGAAGCCTACTGGGACTTTTTTTTTGGTACTGGGGATCCAACTCATGACCTCACGTTTACAGGGCAGGCGCCTCTGAGCTAAACCCCCGACCCCCTACTAGGACTTTCTTAAGAAAAGTATCTTTAAATGCACAAAAGAAAATACAAACTAATTCAAGAAAACTGATTATACTGCAGTAGCAAGTATCCAAACACATTTTATGAAACTTGATAAAGTAGCATGAGTTTTTCAATTAACCTGTCAAATGTTACTGAATAATAGACTTACTATTGTGATAATAATTGTGATAAATTACCAAGTAGCAATCACGTAAATATTTTGAGGTTATCTGCAGGAACTAGATTGTGTCCCCAAAAAAAATCACTAACTCGTGATCTAAAAAGGCTGGGGTTTTTATTATTGTTATTGCATTTAAAATTGGAGGAAATGCCACCTTTTTTACTTAAAAACCATTTAAAATAAAGTTGTAATTTTCCTACTTGGGGACATTTGTTAATTCTACCCTTATCTTATGCTCATAGCACTATGAAAATGTAGAAGTCAGTCTAGTTGACATAGGCTAATTCATCAAATAACCTCATACCTCTGTAATCAGAATACTAAACAACAGCAAAAGTCTTAGGGGTGTTTCTTTCTTTTATTTACAGAAGGCACTGAAAACTTTAGATCATTGTGTGAGCAAGAAATGCCATATATAAGGCAATCTGAAGTATATTACGTGCAGACACTAAATGTATTAAATAAAATGCAAACACTGACTGCATTAAATGTAAACACAGTAGATGTTTTGTAAGATATTTTAAAACCCAAAACAATAAGTCCCCGCTACATAGGACACTGGAGGCTTAGGTCCCTTCCTTACTATCTCTAATATTTTGAAAGTTGCATTTTTACACATTTTTCTTTATGCTCTCACTCGTTACATTTTTTAAACATTCTCATTGGTCCATGTTTGCAGGGCAGAATCATTATGTTCACCATGGGGGGACTGGTCCATGGACATAGCACGTCTTAATTCCTTTTATTTCCCCTCTCCCTCTCTCCAACTCTTGGTCCTCTTTTTTAATTTTAATTTAAAATACGGTACAATGTGTTGGTTGCCTTTTCAATTCTGTTTTTCAGGTCTCTGAATGAGATCCATAAGGATGTCACCCAGGGTGCGCACACACAGCTAAGCCCCTCAGCCCAAGCGGCCACGCTTTGGGAAACAGACGTGGCAAGAGATGTGTCAAGAGATGTAGAAATAAACACGACTCCGCGCAAGGGTTGATTAGGCTCCCAGATCACTAGAGTCAAAGGACCACCGCGGAGGCCACTGTGTCTAAACTTCCCCTTGCAGGTGGGGAACCAGAGACAAGGAGCAGTCTGGGAATTCGCCCTGGGCCCATGAACCTCAGAACAGTGTGGCTGAGGCCTGAGGTCCTCCAGGCCCTCGCTGCCCCTCCACAGGGCGAGTCCCTCTCCTGGCTCTGCCTCCACCAGAGCACAGCAGCCCCCTCCCCATAGTCTCCCTTTCTGTGGTTTCAGTTATCTGAGGGCCATCACAGTCCAAAAAACATTAATTGGAAAATTCCAGGCTTTCAGAGAGACCACAGTCAACCGTGCTGTGTATTATAGCTGTGTCTGCTGTATTACAGCAGACGATTATCTTTGTCCTCTTTTTATTGTCATTAATTCGTTAAGTAATTTGCAAACTGAACTCAACCGTGGGTGTGTATATGTCAGAAAGAAACATGATATATGTGCGATTAGCTCATTCCTGGTTTCAGATTTCCAGAGTGGATGCTGGGAAGCACCCCCCAGAGATACCGGGACCTCTGCTGGGCTCTAGAAACAGGGGGTTCCCAGCCATTATAAACACGCATCGTTGCGGTGGGGTGGCAACCACAGTTACTTGGGAGACCAAGGCAGGAGGATTACAAGTTCAAGATCAGCCTAACTAATTCAGAGAGATGTTTTTTCAAAATAATAAACTAAAATAAAGAGCTGGAGATGTAGCTCAGCATTGCTTGCGTTTAATCTCTAGTACCACAAAACAAGATAAAGAGGGAGAGAGGGAGAGAGAAGGGAGAGGGAAGCAGGAGAAAAAAATGCACCTTGCTTCCAAATATGTTGGAAGCCATTGAAGCTGGAAACTGACCACACATGCAAGGCTGAGGCATGGCCAGCCCAAGAACAAAGAGCACCCAGGTCAAACCCCAGGATGAAGGTGCTTCACCTAGCCCCAAGATAATCTGAACAGTGGGTTGCTAGGACAATGGGGTGTCACATGACATTAAGTTACTAAAATGTGTAAATAAATGCCCTTCAGTGAGGGGGCAGTTCCTTTCCTCCCATCAGGAAGGAAAAGCTGACCCCAGCTTTGTCTCTTCTTTATTTTCTCCTCTCATGATCCTTCACCCCAAGAACCTCAAGTGGGTCATGGTACACATGCAGGTTAGGAGACATAAATGTTTTTCACATGTAAGTGACTCCAAAGAATATTAAAGAATCAAGAATTTGTTTCGAAGAACTTTCAAAGTCTCATTGATTAACAGTATTGTTCCAACTACTGAAAAGCCAATAAACTATCTTTAATTTGATTTTATTGGATTTTTTCTGATCATGAAAGGACTAATATATGTTCATTACAATACACTTTGAAAATACAAGAACAAAAGAGGAAGAAAATGAAAAGTGGTTACATCTCAAATCAAAGATAATGTGGTACTGGGCGTGGTGGAGCACTCCTGTAATCCCAGGACTCAGGAAGCTGATGCAGGAGGCTAATTGTGAGTTCAAGGCCAGCCTGAACTGCAGAATAAAACCCTGACCCCTATCTCAAAAAAATATATAATAATAATATTGGTAATATTTCAACCTGTTTCCATACATTTAGGTCCAGTATATCTGAACAGACAACTACATACATATAAACATATATTAAGATAATAATGTGTGTAAAATATTGCAAACTATTTTTAGCATTATATCAACAGCATTTTTTTCCACTGAATTAAAATTATTTCTAAAACATCATTAACATAAAAGCCTATGGCTGAAGGTTATTAAATAAAGTTTAAAGATGCTACAATTACATGAAATTATCTCATAATTTTTGATCACTGAATCACTGTAACTTATCTAAACTTTATATCCTGTTTACAGGTACATCATGCAGCCAATGCAATTATGGCATTAAATGTAACTAAAGCATTAAATTGCTCTAAGTCAGAAACCTAAAACTATACTTAGAATCATTAGAAAAATTTAATGGTAACAGCTAAATATCATTGGGAGGAAATTCGTATCCTAGGAAATTAGAGAAATGAAATTCACAGCAGAACCACCTACACTGTTAAACGCTTAACATTAAAAAGGAATTACAATAATACATCCTGACAAAGCTCTAGAACATCAGAATGGAACACAATGCTTGTGCAAGGAACTAATATTTGGTACAAATATTTCGTGCCTGTTGCACCACAGGAGTTCAACAAATATCTGTCGTAATCTGTCAACCTACACCAAGACCTCTGAGTACGATTATACCCTTTGATAATCTTACTTCAAGGAATCTATATAGTATAGACATTAAGATCATCATTGCAGTTTCCTTCAAAGAGAAAGACTGGTCACAACTAATTGTCCAAGATTAGTAAATGATGTAAGTCTGTAGAACTATAGAAAGCTAATTTTCACATCAATTTAAGAACTATAGTAAAAGTATAATTGCCTTGTCTGTAGGACAAGCTACTTGTATTCATTGAAATATTTAAAATAGTGATGCATTTAATATCTTGGTGTAAGATTTTACTTCATACCTTTAACAAAATAGTTGTTAATCTTTAAATTGAAGAAAATGAATGAATGAAACATTTTCTTCCTTCCAAAACACATGTTAGGGTCAATCAAAAATGTTACCCATGTATTTGTTCTCAGTCCCAGCAGAAAATCAAAGTTTCTTAGTAATCATACAGATGGTGAGAGACAACCACCATGGCTTTCCACTTCCTCAGAAACATGACTTAAATAATCCTGACGGCTGTAATCCCAGCAGTCAGAACGCTGAGGCAGGCTGAGGCAACAGGATCACTGCAAATTTGAGCCCAGCCCAGGGTACAAAGTAAGCTCAAAGACCATCCTGAAACACACAGTGAGACCCTGTCTCAACATGCAAAAAAAAAAAAAAAAAAAAAAAAAAAATCTGACATAATCCTAGCATAGGCTCAGTATTAGAAAAATATATTCTTCTCTCTCTCTCTCTCTCTCTCTCTCTCCCTCCCCCCCCCACACACAAGGAGTTGTGGTTTAACAAGCAGCACAAGTCTCAGTACCTTAATAAGCCCTGATGGTTCACTTCCTTCTTCCACCACAATGAGCTGAGATCTTCCTTTCCTCTCGTTGTCTCGAATGCCAATGGCAACCTGGTTTGCTTTTAGACGCTCATATTTGTTGCAGGAGGAACCACACCACTGGTAAATTTCCTAAAAAAAAAAAAGAGAGAGACAGATCTTTGGATCTCAAGACCACATGGAGGCTATTCCTTCTTAGTATATTGCTCACTGTGATTAACTAGGAAAAAACAAAAAGGTAACAAGAAGAAAATCAAAATTAACTATTGTTGTGGTATGTATAATGGTATATGTTTAGATTACATCTCATTCTGTATCCTATTAATTTGTTAGCATTACAAAGAAAGTATTTTAATGGAAAATATAAAAGACAAAGATGTATTTCCTTGTTCCCTGAGTGTCTAGCCTACTAATTAAAATTTATGAAAGCAAACACATGGATTTTTTAATTTAAAATATATCTACCATATTTCAAAAAGATAGTCAAAAATCTGTTAAGGCAAAATACTCTCTTTTGTCTGTACGTTTTTTTCAGGTACAGGGAATCTAACTCCGAACCTTGTGATTGCCAGACAGGTGTTTAAGCCACTGAGTTAGATCCCACACCAGCAAAATACTCTTGATGGCCATAAAAATTTTTGTAAACCTATTTATCTGTCTATTTACACAAATATGATTCATTCACTCAAATGACAAATATTGTATATTCCATCACACAGAACAAGGAAATTTGAAATGTGCACACGTTATCGAATGTTTAAATCCAGCTAACTAACATATGCAAACAATTTAACAATTCTTATCACACAAAGAATTAGAACCTTTGACCCAGTAATAAAACTATATAAAACTTATTTTAATAAATTATTCATAACACCTATACAAGATTTTCTACTGCTTTATGATTACATTAGTGAGGCAGTACAGACATTCAAAGTTCATACAAATGCTATATAAATTTATAATACATAGAAAAAGTTTGACATTTAACCATTAAAATTACTTCTTAACATAGAAATGTACACAAATAGGAATCCAGGCATGGTGGTGCATGCCTGTAATGCCCACACTCGGAGGCTGAGGCAGGAAGATTGCTGTGAGTTGGAGACCAGCCTGGGCTACAGAGTGAGTTCAAGGCCGGCCTGCACTACATAGTAAGACCCAGTCTTAAAAAAACAAAATATATATATATAATATATATTATACATATGTTTGATATATTTTAAAGATTATATTAACTGCCATTTAGATTGAAATATTATATGTTTTAGATTTGAGTCCAGTGTTCAGAAGCTACACAGATATAAATATAAAATCAGAATAAATCCCTCATTTTACCCATAAAATACAATATAACAAAAGAAATAAAATGCTGAAAGGTACCCCAGCCTCGCGGGGCTGTGGGAACAGGCATGATCACACACAATTTGAGTGGTATAAATCTACATAAGATTTTCTGGAAGGCAATCTGCTATCAGATCAAGCAATGGAATGTGCTTTTAGCATAAAGAATTTCCACAAATTTATACTAAAGAAAGATTCAAATACAGTCTATACAACCAAGAAACTAAAGAAATGCCCATCAACAGATGGATACTTCTAGACTCCTCCTCAGGGAAAAACTTTAGAAAATCACTTGAGATATATCATTAAGACTAAAATAAAGCCACAGAATAACATGACTATGTTTAAATAAAAATAAAACACGCCTGTGTTTGTAGAAAGCGATCAAAGGGGGTACGAATATTCAGAAAGCCTCTAATGTGTCACATTCACTTATTAGGTCCCTATCATGAGGTAAATAATAAAGCAGCAACTTTGCTAAGGACACATGTGCACCCTCTTGGTGTTCATTTTCCACACTGTCTCACTGAATCAAGCACCAACAGGTGGTTTGCACTGTGGTTAGGTGTGAGGATGATGGGTCGGGACTGCCACTCTCTGGGTATGTGACAGCGTGTTTGCAATCTTTACAAAGAACATTCATAGCATCATAATGATACATAGTGCTGATAACTAATAATACACAGCTACTGCCATAGTAAAATCAAAGAGCATCTGTGCAATGAGAGAGATTCTTCTGGTCACATTTTCAATACGAACTCATTTCTTCATTCAAAAACAGTTGACTGTGTGCCTGAAATGGGCCAGGTTCTCCAGGACTGTTGGGGCATAGCTTGGCTTGTGACAAGCTCTCTGACCAACTACTTCACTATGGTCTTAATTGACCTAAGCTACCATCCTCTGTAAAAATAAAAACAAGATCTGAGGAATTCAAGTGTTTGTAATAAGAGGTGAAGAGTCTATACCTTGTAATCCCTTTAATTCTAGAATGTGATTTAATTATTGCATACAGTCAATGTGCGTTTCTTTTGTATTTCTAGCACAACACTGCACTCCTGTGATTGCCTGTCACCTCTCTTCTCCATGTGGGCATTGGAATAGAAGACTCGCCCATGAGGGCCATTTAAATACTATGCCAAAGTTAGCAGCACAAAGGGTAAAGCAAACAGCTTCCAGAGATTATTCAATGCTTAGTCACTAAGCATTAAAACCAATGCAGTAGGAAGGTAATTTTGTAAAATACAGAAACACACACCCTATCCTTAGGTACTCCTGCTGTGCTCTGGGAAAGTGCTCATTGAAGGTTTCCTGGGGGACTGTAGCATGCAACTGAGCTAGACCCATTGCTAATCAACGCGGGGACACAATCACCCTGGTGCACACAGCAAGGAATCTGTAATCTGTCATGATCCAAGAGCACCCGGCAGGACACACTACAGCCCAGGTCTCAGCTCAGATTCTTTTCTCTCCCTTGTTGGGTGATGTTTTGCAAATAATTCTTTCCTCTGCAGTCTGAGAAAGCAAGTGTCTAAGAGTCAGGTACTGTGTTACAGTGAAATACAGAAAATAGATCACAAGTTAGCTCCCTCTGGGTCTCAGCCATTGGCGGCTTCATAACTGACTTGCCCTGCATTTTATAATCATCTAACGGATGCTTATGTTCTCTTTAATTTAGTGGTGTAAACAACCTCTCATCTACTTCAAAGAGATGATATATAATCACATTGGATTTTATTAGCATCCGTAAAGCACATAGAAACTTGGCAAAATGTATTTAAGATGTTTAGTAAATACAATTATTTGATATAAAATTCATAAAAGTCTATGGATTCCAAAATAGTCCCTATAATATTACTTCAAGTAAGAAGCTTTTATGTGCATATTTATTCACAGGTAAATTTAGGTGTAGAAAATGTTCCTCACTGTTGTTTATGACCACAGTTTCTACATTTAAGACAGTAAAATTGGGGCTGGGGATTTAGCTCAGCGGCATAAGCACCTGCCTTGCAAGCAGGCAGTCGTGAGTTCAATCCCTGGTACTGATAAAAACGAAAAAGACAAAAAAAAAAAAAAAAGACAGTAAAATTACATGAATACAGTATTCATAAAAACAGTAAAACTTTTACAAGTGAAGTTTTCCTTTTAACTCGAAGATGACTAAATCAATAAAGCATAATAGAAAGTCATTCAGCACAAAATGAGTTATTTTTATTTTGCTCACTATTCTACTTATATCTTATTTTGTGTTACCATTTACATATGAGCGATAGATTTCTTCTTAGATTTACTTTGCCATGGCTGACACAAGAAAAGCACTAAATAATGATCTTAACTGTAAATTGGCAAAAGTCAGAATTAAGGGGCACATTCATTAATCACTGACTTCCTTTAATTAACTTTCTATGCAAATATAGCTTGTTTAATGGTGGGGGCAGCACATTAAAATTTGCTTGAATAAGTTTAAACAGAATTTTAGCGATTCATTAAATGTGAGCACTTACATTCCATCTTGTGTAGTGGATGTGTTTCACCAAAGCTCTGCTGTGTGTAGTACTATTAATAAACTGCTCTGCCCAACACACACCCTATTCAGAGGTTGTTGGTTAAGACTACTCACCGCTTGGTACACAGAAAAACTTTGTATCCCCTTGGCACCATGCTTGAAAAAACTCTCCTATAATTCAGCTTATCCTGTTTTTTAGAGGGAGCAGGCTTTAAAAAAAAAACTCTGCATAAAAACTTTTTCAAAGTCTGAATTGATGTGATGGTTTAGTATGTATTATTACAACACAAATTTTCACTATGATTTAAATTACTTTATTTATGATACTTTCACGGGATTTGGCTGAAAAACCTTTCAACAAAGTGAGTGTACCAGACACAAAATATTTTTAAAATGTGGCTTCAGAGGCGGCTATTTTACCTTCTAAGATCCTAGGACATTTTAAACTAATGTCAGATTTCTTTGAGGAAGGGGTGTAACAACTCAATTTGGACTGAAGCTTGCTTAAATTTTAGCAGGCAATCAATATGCATGTTGTCCATGCACACCCTCAGTAGAAGTCTGTGGAACTATAATTAACTCTTACTATTCTTGCTGGTAAAAGAAAACAACCTGTTACAGGAAATTAGTCTGGTTCACCAGAAACTAGAAATAAATGCAAGCAAGTGACAATAATAGAAGCAACCCCGTCTAAAAAGGGGAGACCTGTTTAGTGGTCTTCAATACGAGAGATTTCTATAATATCCTTCAAACCATGTGGTGTAAGTTAGCAAGTAAGACATCAAACAGCAGTCAAACATCACCAAGAGGTAAAATAAAAGCAAAAATAAGACAGTGCTTAATGATGGCACTGAAGGGAAGCGAGGTGTCGGAAGCCTTGTTTAAAGGGGAACTCAAAACAACACCAGCGATGTTGACTCACGACCCATGTGAAGAACACAGCGTGGTTGTGCTACTTTTTTGTCCTTTTTTAGAGTCATTTATTACCTAAATGCATCTAAACTGTCACAAAAGGAGAAGGGGCGCCCAGACTTCTTTCTCTTTCTCTTCCTCATGCCGACTGTCTTGATCGTGTTCAGCATTTCCTTAGATCTAGCTAACCAGACATACAAAGTCATTAAGGTACTGCTTTCGCCTGGAGTTTCTCTAAGCTTAAAAACAACGACTTAGGAGATAACTCCAGAGATCAACTTCTTTTCATTTTAGTAGTTTAAATTATGACTTCTTTAGTTTTGGGATAAGCAAATGTTTATTGAAAACCTGTTTGGTTCCTCAAAGCCAACCT